TTTTTGAACGAGTGGGAGGGAATCCGAGACCCCCTCGTCACCGAGCCCCCAGCGTCGTCGCCACTGACGTCACCGCGGTTCCCGTTAAAGCTGAACTCGGATTACAAAACTACAGAAATAATTAAATAAATTTCTGTAGTTTTGTAATCGGAGTTCAGCTTTAACTATGGTGTAAAGGTATTCAAACGACTGGCGAAATTTGGAAAGTTTGACGGTCGCAAACGCGTTTTCCTGGCACGAATCGTGATAGTGGGAACCTAAAGCGTTAAGATGGTTGTATTAACATCTATTTCTGTATAACTATTGTAACACCTCACTGGTTTGCACGAATAAAATAGAATAGTCAGACTTTTTATGCTCCTTATTAACGCCGTCACATGTGTAAAAATAAAATAGATATTAGAGTAACGTCCTTGTTGAATAAGTAGGCCAATAATAATATAGAATATAAAGAAGACGGTATGTGAAATTGTATACGTATGTATAACATCATAATAAATTCATTATTTATACATTTGGATTATCACGTGATTTTTAAATTTTTCAATAACCAGAAGCCCTTTATGAAGAGTGTTTCACGTTTCACCGGTATTCTTGTACCATAGAAATATCAGATAAATTTATACATAAAAAGGTCCCGTGATGTATATGCGTTCGAGCTCGATGAATGTTTGAAAATTTAACTGCCGCAAACGCGTTTTCCTGCTATTCCAGCCCTTGAATACAGCAACTTCAAAGTGGTCCAATATAGCCTACCTTAGGTGACTTACACAAATCCCAAATCCCAAACAACCAATCAATCGTCGCGGGGTATGGGGGACTCGCGCTCCCCGAGACAATTTTGAAAATGTAACCGCCGCAAAATGTGTTTTTCTGCTATTCTAGCCCGTGAATTAAGCAACTTCAAAGTTTCCATTCGGGTTGCAACCAAATCCCACTCTATGCCGACCCGAATTCCAACCACCCAATCAGACTGTTGCAGCTGCATTCACAATAATAATAATTAATGCCCGAAAAATGTCGCACAAAGTAGGGTGGCTCCAGACAAACTGCTTTAATCGATAGTAAATTCAGTACAAATTCGTGGTATTCAATTAAAAGAACAATAAAATTAGTGTTTTATTAGATTTCGGGCATTATTTTGCCAACTAGATGAAATAATAATTTTTGTTTTCACTTTACCCGTCTGCCCGAAAAGTTAGATTACCCGAAAGTTAGCCCCTCACCCCGCCTTTGTCTTGGCATAAGCATAATTTAAAATAATCACGGCTAAATCAGTTCCTCACGGATCAGTCCTTTTCATTCAATGTAAAACCTTTGGCTATTATTGGTAAATGGGAACAAGAATTAGAAATCGAAATAACTGAAAGATCTTTAATCTTGCACCAAGTAAAGACAGCAGTCCTCAAAATGTCCAATATCAATTTATTCATAAAATAAGATGTGCAGACGCGTTACTTTGTAAATTAATTTTAAACTTAATTTTAATATAACATTAAGCCAAAATAAATCCATTTTGGGTATTCAGAAATAAACAGACATCAATTATACGAATGAGATTTTACTATATATTAAGATCTAAATTGAGAACTCAGTCGTCCTTATGTCTTAATTACTATATGTAAGAATAGAGCTTTATAAGACCATAAATACACCACACATTAAATCTGTATAAGGTGGTAGCTCTAATCCTCTAATCCAATCCCATAATTAAGTAGGGGGGTTCGATGACCGTATGGTTAGCGCGTTTGCGCTGTATAATAAGGTCTGTCATTGAGTCAACAGGCGTGGTTTCGATTCCCCGGTTGCACGTGACAAGGAGTCGGGTCTTCCGGTTTCTCCCCACTGCTAAAGACTCCTACGCGCAAGCAAAGTATTGGAATAAAGTTCAACCATGTGTTAATCCCAAAATGACCTAGTTTGTGTCAAGTGGACGTTAAACCCCATTTCGTTCTTTCTCCCTAATTAAGTATACCCCCACCACATTCATTCAAGAACGATAACATAGCAAAATGGTGTTCAGGGCCGATCACCTATATTATTAAATGATCTTCTCCGAAGCAGTAACCGAGAAAGGCGTTGTTTTAAGACATACCTCAATATTTTTCTCTTGTATAATTTGATTTTCAAATATAAACCATTAATACCCCAACTTAGCATCGTGTATGACAGTGTGTGTATTAAAATAATCACTTATTTGTGGTTATATTAAAATTTGTAAAAGACGTATTCTTTTTGAATGTATTTTTAAAAATATCTCAAATACAACAGAAGAAACTTGTCCCGTAGGTTTTGCCATTTAGACACATTCGAATTTGCTGCATTGGAAAAAACCCTTGATTATTGAAACTTGTTCAACAAGCAATTGTTACACTTTTAGGGATTTGTAGGGTGTCCAATACCAACATTATTGTACTGTTTTAAATTGTAGATTTTATTTTTTTTTACTATTCATCCATGTAAAACATATTTGTTACAATTTTATAATAAAATTTTTATAATAAAATGTATAAATTACTGACTTCGAGTTTTGAATAGCATATACCATTGGCTGATATATCTATAGTTCACAAGCAGTATCATAATACAGATATGTGACCAGAAGCTAATATGAATAGAGCCTATATGTAACTTAATATTCTATAAAAGTTTAACATTGTGTACCGTAATCGAATTGTTTACTGTCCTCGTTACATGGATTCAAATCACAAATCCACCCAAGCTAGAAAACTACAAATCCGAAGATCATTGCTCATAAAAAAATCACTTTCCATTCAATAAATATTCCAGTCATCTATTTTTGGATTTGGGAAAATTAATTCTCTTTTTTCCATAAATACAGATTGCCGTATTATTTAACTATTGTTTTTGTCCTTGTAAATGGTACAGGCGGATTTTAATAATCAAAACAAACATGTAATCAAAGAACGCCTTTATCCACCATATGTTATATTGTCACGTGACATTGTTATGTTTTGTTTCGCTCGGAAAGCGTTTATTATACACGATAGACCTCCAGTGCAAGAAATCATAATAATGAATCATATCATGACCCAATAAATAATCCAATTTGTGTGGCTCTATTTGTTGATAGCAAATACCGCTTATAATTATCTTGAAGAAAACTACATTTAGTAAAGGAGGCATTTTTACCCAGCCTCGTTCTGGACAAAATACCTCGTTCCAAAAACATGGCAATTTCAAAAACTACGTTTTGGAACTCCAGACAAACGTGGCATTTAGTTTACCACGTTACAACGTGGCAAAATTGTGGCAAAAATTTTAATACGTTTTTGCCACGTTTGGACAAAAATGCCGAACTGAGGTTTATAATGTTAACCCCCAAACAATTGCTACTAAAGGTTTCTCAACTTATTCTGGCAGGGTTTAGTGTACTGTATAACATACTAAAAGTTTACCAAATGTATGTCAACACTTCTTCTTATTTGACGCCATACAACTGTAATAAAATGTGTAAACGCATGAACATCTGTCCTGTTTACAAGCAGATCAAATTATTGTACAGATTACCTACCTAAGACATATGTATATACACGTATTTCTATAGTAACCGATGATTTCATATTTACATATAATATAATGTTATTTAATACCAGGTACCGTGAATATACGTGACTTAACTACATTTAGACCAAGATTCTTTATATCATCAAACAGAACAACACCAGACAGAGGAGGCTTAATGGGGTTTAACGTCTCGTCAACACAATTTGTGTGATCACGAATGCAATGTATGATAAGGGTAAGGGAGGGAGGATCTTGCCCGTACAGTGGCATTTCTGCATATTCTTCATAGACTTATAGTTGTCCATTCTCGACCAGGGAGTCGTCAAAAAGGGGATAATCGTTGTTTTTTTTGTTCTTTTTTTAAATTCTTCTTTGTTGATTTTTTTGAATTGTATTCGTGTCTTGCAGTTTCTGAATCTATACTCGTCACCACAACATGTCGGGACTAAACTACAAATTTAAATTAATAACAAAAATTCTTATTTTGGTTTTACTCTCGTATATTAAATGGGAGCCGCGGTGGCTAAGTGGGTAAGGCGCTGGCTCGCCAGCCTGGAGGTCGGGTGTTTGATCCTTGCATTGGCGGAGAAAGTTCACCGGGATTTTCCGACGTGATTTATCCTTGTCAGTGGCGCAAGACGAAGGGCCTGACAAAGACAGCTACCTAGTCGTTCGTATGGGACGAAAAACCGAGATCCCGTATATACATTGGCATGCACGTTAATTCACCCTTTGCAGTTGGAATTCGATACAAGAGTAAGGGATTTCTATTATTCTCTGTTCGGGATCCCGGGGTGAGCGGCCCAAAATGTCAAATGGCAGGCCTGTAGCCCCATTTAGCTGGGTTAGGGTTCCAAGTTCTTGGGAGTGATTTCCCCGGAAACTGCAGACAGGACAGTGAAATACGTCATCAAAATCCGAGCACACATCTTATAAAATATTATCTGGCAGAGCTATAAATAACTCTAGATGGAGAGGTTTTTGATCTGAACTATTTCGAACAGGAGCGTAACTCTTTAAATGTTTTGCGTACTGGAATCACCATCTTTCTGGAGAAACTTCAAGCATTATTCACACATCGCTCCTATAGTCCACAGGAACTAAGAATCGAGTGTTCACATTCATGTCTGGTACTTCGTGCAGCAGACTGAACGCGACGACCATGATGATATGTAACAACAAACAACCCATACAATTCAACACCTGATAGTTTTCCTTATTGTTTATAACAGATGGGTCTTTCCCATCAAATAGAATCTGGAATATATTTAAGACAAATAAAACAAGATTGAAAGGATATTATATAATGTCATTTTATACGAGTTGACGTGAATATACGTGACTTAACTACCTTTAGATCGGGAATCTGTTCATTATTAAATTACCAAGCATCTGGCAGAGAAGGCGTACCAATAGTATATAAGAGATACCGCTGGTCGTTTAAACATTACATAACTAATTCATCAACATGAAGATAGCAGTTGTATGTTTCTTGGTTGTACTAGCTGTGGCCTATGCCCAGCAGGAAGGCGGTCGACGAGAGGAAGGCGGTAGACGAGAGGAAGGTGGTAGACGAGAAGAAGGAGGTAGACGAGAGGAAGGTGGCAGACGAGAAGAAGGTGGTAGACGAGAGGAAGGAGGTAGACGAGAGGAAGGTCAACGAGAGGAAGGAGGTCGACGAGAGGAAGGTCAACGAGAGGAAGGTGGTAGACGAGAAGAAGGAGGTCGACGAGAGGAAGGTCAACGAGAGGAAGGTGGTAGACGAGAAGAAGGAGGTCGACGAGAGGAAGGTCAACGAGAGGAAGGTGGTAGACGAGAAGAAGGAGGTCGACGAGAGGAAGGAGGTCGACGAGAGGAAGGTCAACGAGAGGAAGGAGGTCGACGAGAGGAAGGTCAACGAGAGGAAGGAGGTCGACGAGAGGAAGGTCAACGAGAGGAAGGAGGTAGACGAGAGGAAGGAGGTCGACGAGAGGAAGGTGGTAGACGAGAGGAAGGTCAACGAGAAGAAGGTGGTAGACGAGAGGAAGGAGGTAGACGAGAGGAAGGTCAACGAGAGGAAGGAGGTAGACGAGAGGAAGGTGGTAGACGAGAGGAAGGTGGTCGACGTCAATAAATGTAAATGTCTACATACACCCCCAAAAGAACATTTTATAATGCTATTAAATAAATTGATCTGAATTTTATGATATTTGTAGTTAGTTATAATCGACAGATATGAATGCTAAGGCCGGTTAGTGGGGAAACATTATTTGTTTGTCTGCGCTAAGTAGAAAAGAGGGATTTGACGGTTTGTTTTCATTTGTGTTTCGCTTTTGGCCAGATGGACGGATTGCTTAATACAGATCTACATCCCGAGTGGATGGTCACATTTGCTCTTTGTGAACGTCAGAAATACATGCAACAAAGCAGACACTATTGTAGATATGCAATCAAAAACGATCAACTTTCAATATTCTAAATGACTTGCTAAGTAGCCTGAACTCATTTAAAATCCCGGTGCGCAGGTCTCGGCCTGTTAACCCAGATATACCCAGCCTACAAAAGGAAGAAGTGAGAGCGATCCGTTCGTACTTGACACGTAATGGATGGAACTTAGTAGATCGAGAGAGAGAGAGAGAAATGGGATTTAACGTCCACTCGACACAAACTAGGTCATTTCGGGACTAACATACGGTTTATTTTTTTATTTCAATAATTCACTTGCGCGTAGGGGTCTTTAGCAGTGGGAGGAAACCGGAGGACCCGGAGAAAACTTTGTCACGTACAACCGGGAATTCTAAACCACGCCAGTTGACTCAATGGCATGCTTTATGATACAGCACGCACGTGCTAACCATTCGGCCATCCAACTTTGTAGAATCTAGTGTCGAACTTCATTAAGCCCCTGTCACACCAAACTAGTTCTCACTACGCTCTGGAAAAGGCCCTAGAAAATCACACCAAACTAGTTCTCACTACGCTCTGGAAAAGGCCCTAGAAAACGGGTTGTTGTCGAGGTACAATCTGTAAATAATATCTATAATACGATCCAAGTGCGTTCATAAACAGTCCTCAATACGTCTATCTCGTACCTCGTCCACACAGTCAGTGTGATATATCATCTAGATGGGTGTATTTGTCCAGGGTCTGTTATATATTCCAGATGGATGTATTTGTCCAGGGTCTGTAGTATCATCTAGATAGATGTATTTGTCCAGTGTGTGTTATATGCATATATTAACTAAATAAATAAATAAATACATTTTATAGTATACATATTTATAAACAGTTTGATAAACATGACATTTCACAGTCCAATAAAATTCATAACAGTGTTGAGGTATTCAATGGGAGGTCTTGGTACCAGTTATTAATAAATTCTTCTCTTTTACGATTCTCTCATCAAGGCGGGGGTACTTTCTTCATTTGGGTGCAAGTCTGCCCCCGGATTATATTTGTCTGCTGGTTAGTTCTACACCTTCCTGTTCGGTCTTATTCAAGTCTAGAAACTTGTATATATTTGGATGGCCCGGACCAAACTTCTTCAGTTTACAGTGCCAACCTGCCAAATGATTAGTTGTTTTTGGCCCCACAGTGGCGAAATGGTTCCAGATTTCTCTGTTACGATCCACTGCTCTGTAAAATTGTCGGCAAACTGGTTGATTCGGGGATCTTCTATGGCATAAAACCGTAGTATTAGGAATGTATTTAATGTTAACCAGAGCGTTCGCCAATTTGGAATGACCATTTGCGATTCAGAGGAGCTATATATATATATATATATCAACTGATAAGCTGTGATTAAATATCAGTAGTTTATTTGTTTTTATTTCAAATTAATTATTACATCAAAAAAGCTCAAAATGTATATTTATTAGTAAACTGATTTCACTAATTTGCCCAATCTACTGATAGTGGGAAGTGTTCACCAATGTAATACAATATCATTTGGGATCTAAATTTTATTATTGTATTTTGAATTCATATTTTAAATTATATTTTTCATTTGTAACTCATTTTGGACATGTGACAGATTAATTGTAAAATGTAATCTGCATCAGGTGTGTGAGGGTTATTTCATAGTATTATGTAAGATATAATGGATTACTCAAACAATGTATAGCCGGCTTGTCTTAGACAAGTATATTATGATATAAGGTTTAGGTAACAAGCATTAACACATATTGTCTAGAGATAAGATGTGTGAATCTTAATAATTACCTTTCATTGTTCTGATTACTAATGGTATTAACTATGGCGTGCCTTGACCGATATAAAAAGCCTAGTTTACAAGCTAGGGAAGTACAGAAGAGGGCAGAGAGAGACCCGTAGAGGCTGAGAGGTCTCCCGGACCTCGGGAGAGGGTCTGCCCTCGACCCCGGAGAGAGGGGTCCTGTGAGGCCGAGGAGAAGCAGCTATAGCTAGACGTAACTTTACCCAACCAAATGATGTTCATATGTACCTGTAAATATGTTATCCAGTATTAAAATATCTTTTTAATAAATAAGAGTTATATATTCTATCACATACTCTTAAGTGGTACCGTGTCCGACGAACCTGTGGTTATGATATATCCAGATTGATTTGGAGACATACTCTTAAGTGGCGCCGTAGACCAGACCAACGTTTTCGACGTCCTAACCACTAGAAGATAAAAGAATTTTATTAAAAGGTAAGTTATTTTCTGATCCAAATTTTGGCCACGGGTAATGATTAGTGTTATGTTTAATAATTTAACTGGCGAAATAAGCGGTTTGTCTTCAAGGCTTAAACATTATGTAGTAACTCAATTAGCTCAACCATTTTCTAGTATTAAGAAATATGACCTTTCATCTGTTGTATCTTATTCAAAAATTAAATAAAAGGAAAAGACTAACGACAAGAATAATAGCGGCCAATAAATATACAGAAGGTGACGATACTGAGTATAAAGTATTGAAGAAGATGATGACGACTAAAAGCCACAAGCCGCAGTGAGCTTGAGAATGGTGAAATTATCCATTTACCATACCTCGACAAAGCAGAGCATACGAAATATATGCTGACATGATGAAGAATATATGCATACATGGTGATGCATACATGGTGGAAAATATAATTATGCCGACATGAAGAAGAATATACATCCATGGTGATGCATACATGGTGGAAAATATAATTATGCTGACATAATCCGGGGGCAGACTTGCTCCCAAAAGAAGAAAGTAACGCCGCCTTGATGAGAGAGTCGTAAAAGAGAAGAATTTATTAATAACTGGTACCAAGACCTCCAATTGAATACCTCAACACTGTTATGAATTTTATTGGACTGTGAAATGTCATGTTTATCAAACTGTTTATAAATATGTATACTATAAAATGTATTTATTTATTTATTTAGTTAATGTATGCATATAACACACACTGGACAAATACATCTATCTAGATGATACTACACAAACTGGACAAATACACCCATCTAGATGATGCTACACAAACTGGACAAATACACCCATCTAGATGATATTGAGGACTGTTTATGAACGCACTTGGATCGTATTATAGATATTATTTACAGATTGTACCTCGACAACAACCCGTTTTCTAGGGCCTTTTCCAGAGCGTAGTGAGAACTAGTTTGGTGTGACAGGGGCTTAATGAAGTTCGACACTAGATTCTACAAAGTTGGATGGCCGAATGGTTAGCACGTGCGTGCTGTATCATAAAGCCTGCCATTGAGTCAACTGGCGTGGTTTGTTGCATGTATTTCTGACGTTCACAAAGAGCAAATGTGACCATCCACTCGGGATGTAGATCTGTATTAAGCAATCCGTCCATCTGGCCAAAAGCGAAACACAAATGAAAACAAACCGTCAAATCCCTCTTTTCTACTTAGCGCAGACAAACAAATAATGTTTCCCCACTAACCGGCCTTAGCATTCATATCTGTCGATTATAACTAACTACAAATATCATAAAATTCAGATCAATTTATTTAATAGCATTATAAAATGTTCTTTTGGGGGTGTATGTAGACATTTACATTTATTGACGTCGACCACCTTCCTCTCGTCTACCACCTTCCTCTCGTCTACCTCCTTCCTCTCGTTGACCTTCCTCTCGTCTACCTCCTTCCTCTCGTCTACCTCCTTCCTCTCGTTGACCTTCCTCTCGTCTACCTCCTTCCTCTCGTCTACCTCCTTCCTCTCGTCTACCACCTTCTTCTCGTTGACCTTCCTCTCGTCGACCTCCTTCCTCTCGTCTACCTCCTTCCTCTCGTTGACCTTCCTCTCGTCTACCTCCTTCCTCTCGTTGACCTTCCTCTCGTCGACCACCTTCCTCTCGTTGACCTTCCTCTCGTCGACCTCCTTCCTCTCGTCTACCACCTTCTTCTCGTCTGCCACCTTCCTCTCGTCTACCTCCTTCTTCTCGTCTACCACCTTCCTCTCGTCTACCGCCTTCTTCTCGTCGACCACCTTCCTCTCGTCTACCGCCTTCTTCTCGTCTACCACCTTCTTCTCGTCGACCTCCTTCCTCTCGTCTACCGCCTTCTGAGCCTTCCTCTCGTCGACCGCCTTCCTCTCGTCGACCGCCTTCCTGCTGGGCATAGGCCACAGCTAGTACAACCAAGAAACATACAACTGCTATCTTCATGTTGATGAATTAGTTATGTAATGTTTAAACGACCAGCGGTATCTCTTATATACTATTGGTACGCCTTCTCTGCCAGATGCTTGGTAATTTAATAATGAACAGATCCCCGGTCTAAAGGTAGTTAAGTCACGTATATTCACGTTAGCTCGTATAAAATGACATTAAATAATATCGTTTCAATCTTGTTTTATTTGTCTTAAATATATTCCAGAATCTATTTGATGGGAAAGATCCATCTGTTATAAACAATAAGGAAAACTATCAGGTGTTGAATTGTATGGGTCGTTTGTTGTTACATACCATCATGGTCGTCGCGTTCAGTCTGCTGCACGAAGTACCAGACATGAATGTGAATACACGATTCTTACTGCCAGTGGACTATAGGAGCGATGTGTGAATAATGCTTGAAGTTTCTCCAGAAAGATGGTGATTCCATTACGCAAAACATTTAAAGAGTTACGCTCCTGTTCGAAATAGTTCAGGTCAAAAACGTCTCCATCTTGAGTTATTTATAGCTCTGCCAGATAATATTTTATAAGATGTGTGCTCGGATTTTGATGACGTATTTCACTGTCCTGTCTGAAGTTTCCGGGAAAACCACTTCCAAGAACTTGGAACCCCACTCAGCTAACTGGGTACGCGGAGCTACAGGGCTACAGTTTGACATTTTGGGCCGCTCAACCCGGGATGCCGAACAGAGAATAATGGAAATCCCTTATTCTTGTATCAAATTCCAAGGGATAATTAACGTGCATGCCAATGTATATACGGGATCTCGGTTTTTCGTCCCATCCAAACGACTAGACAGCTGTCCTTGTCAGGTCCTCCGTCCTGCGCCACTGACAAGGGTAAATCACTTCGGAAAATCCCGGTGAACTTTCTCGGCCAATGCAGGGATCGAACACCAGACCTCCAAGCTAGCGAACCAGCGCCTTACCCACTTAGCCACCGCGTCTCCCATTGAATATACGAGAGTAAAATTAAAATAAGAATTTTTGTTATTAATTTAAATTTCTAGTTTAGCACGACATGTTGTGGTGACGAGTATATATTTTAGAAACTGCAAGAAACGAATACAATTCAATAAAATCATCATAGAAAAATTAAAAAAAAAACAACCCAAAACAACGATTATCCCCTTTTGACGACTCCCTGGTCATGAGTGGACAACTATAAGTCTATGAAGAATATGCAGAAATGCCACTGTACGCCTCCCCCCCCCCCTTACCTCCCTTACTCTTATCATACATTGCATTCGTGATAAAACAAATTTTATTGATGAGACGTTAAACCCCATTACGCCTCCTCTGTCAGGTGTTGTTTTGTTTGATGATATAAAGAATCTTGGTCTAAATGTAATTAAGTCACGTATATTCACGGTACCTGTTATTAAATAATATTTAAATCATTAAAGAAATAGTTGTAGTTACATATGTCTTATGTAGGTAATCTGTACAACAATTTGATCTGCTTGTAGACAATACAGATGTTCTGAAAAACTGACCAATTTTCATTCGTTTACACATTTCATTATAGTTGTATAGCGTCAGATAAAAAGAAGTATTGACATAAGTATGTTATCGAATTGCACATTAATGTCCCAGTTTTATACAACAGTTAGTCTGGCTTCGTAAAGTTGTTCCTGTGGTTCACGAGTTGTACACGTAAGTAAGGTAGACTTAGCTTCAATGTATATTCTCGTGCCGTGCTTATCGGAAAGCACAGGGATGCGAGAAAGGGGTATGATATCAATCAGTCAGACCACCAAAGCATGCCAAGTGGCGTTGGCCATGTACTAAAAGTAGAGTCATGCCATAAAAGTCATGCCATAAAGAGTTATTGCAAAGTCTTCATCTTTGAAAACAAAAATGCTTCGACCACGGCAACATGCTCTTACACTAGCAACGTCCTTGGAATACCCTTTTGCGAATTTTTTTTATTTATCGCGGAAGTCCAGACTAAAACGTACAGAACATATATAAATTTATTGTTGTTATAAAAAGTGAAAGCGCTAGGATATGTTGTACATATATGAACCACAGTATTTAGGTAAGTTAGTATTGGGATCCTCAATTGCGTCGTTGGAAGAGTGTGTACAATTTTCAGTGCAAATTTGTCCTTGTCTAAAGAAAATCGGATAAACTTGAAAGAAAAACAGCTTCAAACTTTGAAAATTTTGTAAGATAAAACATTCTTCAAATACGTCGTCATCAATGACGTCATTGGTCGTCATGGACAACGCCATTGTAATCCGGGAACTTGAATTTAGTTCTAATGGCGGACTTTGTTATACAGCCGAGATTAGATGTAGTGTACTGGAATCTGTTGAGGTTTGCCGAGTGGAGTTATTTATAGCTGTGCCAGATAATATTGTATAAAATGTGTGCTCGGATTTTGATGACGTATTTCACTGTTCTGTCTGCAGTTTCCGGTAGACGAGAGGAAGGTGGTCGACGAGTAAGAGAGAGAGATGGGGTTTAACGTCCACTCGACACAAACTAGGTCATTATGGGACTAACACATGGCTCAATTTTATTTCAATAATTCGCTTACGAGTAGGGGTCTTTAGCAGTGTGAGGAAGCCGGAGGACCGGGAGAAAACACAAGAGGTTGGACAGGCGACCCTACTCCTTGTCACGTACAACCGGTGAATGGAAACCACGCCAGTTGACTCAATGACAGACCTTATGATACAGCGCGCACGTGCTAACTATTCAGCTATCCAACCCCCCTATCGACGAGGAACTGGATCCCAAGCACTACCCATCGTGTTGTTTTGGTTTTTATTGTTGTTCCTCTTCTTGGTGACGACGATAATTCAAGTACTATAGACATAAAACTTGACTTTCTTGTTCCTCTTTTAAAACAGCGCATTGGTTGAATTTTGATATGACGTCACTATTCCAATATGGCCAAGTTGACGACATACACGGTGCCTGATCCAAGGAACGCTCTTGCTTATTTTAATAACCCAGTTTAGAAACTAGACGTCATTTAGCGGCATGTTCCTGAACTGTACGACTATTCTGTAAAGCCACGAACAACTAGTATATTGTGAAGGACAATTCTAACATGTCTGTTCTATCTCTTGAGACTGGTGTAGTGTCGATATATATCAACCAAGTGGAATAAAGAACGTTCGCTGTGATCTCTAGTACTTTAGAGAAATACTTCGCTTGATATCCCAATCAGTTTCTATTTGAAGAAATTTGCCCACTCGTTTTCAACGCTAGTATTTTAGTGTAATGATTACTGGTAGACTGGATAACCGACTCGATATGACGTTAGCTAAACAAACCTGTTTCTAATTAGTGGCTTTCATAAATTAAGAGGTGGGTGATAGCCATGCTGTTTACATATAAAGATCGCCTCTTAAATACTTAATTCATGAATTAGGATCATATCTTAAATACTGTATTTATGGATACCGATCACCCTGTAAATGCTGTGTTTATGAATTAGGATCACACTGTAAATTCGGTATTGATGAATTACGATCACCTCGTAAATATTGTATTTATGAATAGCATTTACCTCGTAAATACTGTATTTATGAATTGCGATCACCTCGTAAAAATCCGGTATTTATGAATAGGTATTTATGAATTAGGATCACCTCGTAAAAATTCTGTATTTATGAATTAGGATCACCTCGTAAAAATCCGGTATTTATGAATTAGGATCACCTCGTAAATAATGTATTTATGAATTAGTGTTACCTCGTGAATACTTTATTAATGGTTTACGATCACCTCGTAAATACTGTATTTATGAATTAGTGTTACCCTTTATTAATGGTTTACGATCACTTCGTAAATACTGTATTTATGAATTGCGATCACCTCGTAAATTTTGTTTTTATGAATTAGGATCAACTTGTAAATACTGTATTTATGATTTACGATCACCTCGTTAATAGATTTGAAGCAGTGACGAAGCATTGTAAGGATTGACTATTATTGAAGTAAACTAATCCTTGTGCTTGTTTATTATATACCAATACAAAGAGTTGCTCTAACATTACCCCTAGGCTATAACTACCCTCTGTACAAAAAACCGCTTCCCTTTGTAAAATGACTGAATAGACTTAACGTCTGACACCGGACAGAAGACCGGACTCGGTTTCGCCGGGTTTGTTCATTTTTAATCTGATAGAACAAGTCCGACTCCGTCTACAACAACCGTTGGTTTCCAGCGAGATTCTTAAAGTTGCGGTTATGAGCGTGGATTCGGGTTACAAAGGAACTGCCCACGGGAAGAGAAGAAATGAAATGAAATGAAATTAGGTTTGTCGTCCTACTGTTCTTGTCGTATTGGGCTAGCAACGAGCAATTAAAACCCCGTTTCGTGAAAATTAGCTGCGTGTAGATAACTCTAATACAGTAACACCGTGGGTGGAATTTTCATGAAGTGGAGACATAAAATAAAACTTCTGTTTTTAGACTTTGGCTACTGAATATCCTATTTCATTTTATTTTCAGATCACGTTTCAAACAGATCCATCAAGTATTCCGTATGAAAATTACATTTGTTTCGTCGATTGTTTCCCACTGTTTGAAATGGCAGGTCTGGCTTTTGTGAACCTATCTGAGTCTTGAGGTCGTCTGTTTACAATGACGACATATTTTAATGTATTAAACGGGCGGCCATCTTTCTCTGAAGGGGGTTGGATGGCCGAATGGTTAGCACGTGTGCGTTGTATCATAAGGTCTGTCATTGAGTCAACCGGCGTGGCTTCGGTTCTCCGGTTGTACGTGACAAGGAGTAGGGTCGTCTGTCCAACCTCATGGGTTTTCTCCGGGTCCTCCGGTTTCCTCTCACTGCTTAAGACCCTTACGCGCAAGCGAATTATTGAAATAAAATTGAACCATATGTTAGTCCCGAAATGACCTAGTTTGTGTCGAGTGGACGTTAAACCCCATTTCTCCCCCTTTGGTTTTTAGGGAAGAATCGAAGAGTTTGAAAACACGATTTTGTAATGTTTCGTAGAAACTAGTCTC